AAAGTCATACAAATTTCGGCGAACTTTCCCATATTGTTGCATCAGGAGAGGCCGTTTCGAGCCAATGCATCTACTCGAATAACCCAGAATATTACTATTGGGCACGCCGGGGACCGTCTTGCCACCTGAACTACACGATTCCAACAGACGAACACATCAGTTATTATTACAACGAATTGGTGGTCCCGGAAGGCCATGATCGAATCGGCTCCTACTTCATGGCGATCGGTTTCGCCGAGGGGTATTTCGGCGTTCAGGTGAACTCGGAGTGCGAGAGGAGAATTCTCTTCTCCGTGTGGAGTCCGTGCGAGACGAACTGCCCGAAAGATGTTCGCAAGGACTATCGAGTCACCCTGAACACGGCTGGTCAAGAAGTGCACACCGGGGTGTTCGGCGGTGAGGGCGTCGGAGGGCAAAGCTACCTGAAATATCACTGGATTGCCGGCGGAACCTACAAATTCTTGCTCAACGCGCGGCCGGACAACAGCGGCAACACGGATTACACCGCTTGGTGGGCACCGGAAAACGGGGAATGGAACTTGCTTGCCAGCTGGAAACGCCCAAAAACGAGCACGTATCTGAAGGGCTTCTACAGCTTTGTCGAGAATTTCAACCCCGACTATGGACATGAGCACCGGAAAGTCGAATTCGGAAACCAGTGGGTGAGAACGGTTTCCGGAAAATGGCTTCCCGTATCGGAGGCTCGGTTCAGCGTCGACGCCACTTACAATGCACAACAACGTGTGGATGCCGCCGGTGGAACGAACGGAGCATCGTTCTTTCTGGCTAATGGTGGCTTTTTCACTCACTCCGTCCCTCCAGGCAGCTCTTTCTCCGTGCCGTGCCCCAAGCAACCCCCAGAGATCAGCCTTGGAAATGGCTGCTCCCGTTGTCGACCCGGTCTCCCTCCAATGGCTCCGAGCGCTCCGCGGACATGTCTGTGCACGGCTTTTCTTTGGTGAGTAGCAGGTTTCATTATTAAAAAAAATTGCTATAATTGCAGAGCAAAAGTGCTAAAGGCCTTTCACAAGCGTGGAGCCCCGATCGCCGACAAGGATCGAATCTTCAGTGTTCCAGGAGACGGATTGCGGGAAATGTTGGCTCCAATTCGAACAGATGTTATTAGGTTGGAAACAAAGTTCTCGAAAAAAGTTTGATTGGAATTTCTTAAAAACGAATCCACCAATTCGAGAACATTTTTTCTATTATTTACAAGTCGACTCCAAGAAATTACTCGTAAAAAAAGAGTGCAGCTTTTCCTTAAAATTTTAGAGATTTTGGAAAAAGTATTATTTTCCAGCTTAAATTCAGATCACTTTTTTCACCAGAAAAAGTATTCCTTATGAGGTAAAGCTAGCATAAATGAGCAATACGCTCTATAATCTCTATTTTTAGTCAAAAATTTTTTACAAAGAAGCTGTATTTCAAAAAATAATTTTTTGATGTCATCTTCTTGGCACTGAGTGTTTGCTAAAATAGATGATTCTGAAAAGTTAAAGCATTAGATAAAATTCGCCTTAATCACAAATTTTCCCTATTTTAAGTACTTGATTTTAGGTTTTGAATGGGACCCATTGCCTGTCCATTAACCCATTAAAAACTTGTCTAAAGGCTGGTCACTCAGAAAGTGTACAAGTCACTTCAGCTGAACAAATCTCTTATTTTTTTTTTAACTGAAGTCCACTCTAATTTTTTTTTGCCACGACTTTTTGAAATATAGTCAAGCTTATCAAAAAAATGTGGGAAGAATTCATGACTTGGTTTTTGAGAAATCACCGTGCAAACTTTTTCTACGAATTTTCTTGCCAACTTAATACTTGAATTACTAACAATAAGTATCTATTTATGACGGTAAGTAGTCGGTGGCTCAATCTCTCCACTGTCTTTATTTTACTCTTTGGAAAAGTTGTTTTCTCATAATCCCAGACACTTTCAGCTTATTCAACGTCGATGGCTCTAATTTGTGCTTGGACAAACAAGGAAACCTGCGAGGAGCGTAGCCCGAAGGGAAGTCCGTCGAATAAAATTTGGTTGTATTTGCCAAGCAGCAAATGAACTTTTACAAAAATGTAACAAACCGTGCAATGAACAAAGACAAGAAAACTTTCAAAATCGTTGAAACGTGCAAAATTGTCGAGGAATCGACTTTCCTCTCATCAACATCTTGGCTTATCAACAGCATCGCATGTTGTAGCCAATTGCAATTGTTCGGAGAGCTTCTTTCATTCTGTCGAGGGTTTTTTGAATCTCTGACGAACTGATCGTACTTCTGTCGAGAGAAACGTCTAGAAAGAGACAAAGTTTTGAGAAGAAAGCCCTTGAATTCATTTAATCATTTGTTCAACTCTGATAGTCGTGTAATTACTGTATTGATTTGCTACAACGGCAACGACTGTAATTGAGTTACTTGAAACATGAATGACATATTACGCTTGATGATGACTAGTTGTATTGTGTGGTATGAGTTCCACCTTGTGTAGAGCTTGGTTTGAGAAAGTAGGGAAGTCTCTTTACCAATAGCTTTCGGAAAACTAAACAGCCTGTTTCCTTTAAGACTGTGGAAGAGATACTCTACAACAAACGCGGCACTTTCTTTAGTTGTCCTCTTCTGTTCTGTGTCGCTTTTCAGGGGCTGGAAAGTGGAAGCGTGAAGCAACGCTCGACCTTGAAAAACTCGTTGAAAATCCATTTTTATCAAGATTTGAACATCAAAAAATTGATTTCCAAAAACGTAGAATATTCAACAAAAGTCAAAAATTCTTCATGGAATCAAATTCTTTCTTGTAAATTGCTTCAAATCTATGCTGAAGTTGGAAAAGTTTAGAAATTTCTAGGAAAACTTTCGTTTTTCCGTACTTTTTTTCATCGATTTGGTTAATATTTCATGCATTGAGCCTTTCTTTGGAAATTTCACCATAAAAATCACAAATTCTTTCATTTTTAAGGTTGAGATTGGATTAAGATTTTGAAAATTATTCGCTAGATTGGTTTGAGAAATTTTTCAAACATGCACCATTCAAAATGACATAAAAATTTCATTGTTAACGCCCCGAGAAACCTCCTGAAAACTCCCAAATTTGACTTTATTCTTTATAAAAATTGTGGATATGAGAATTTCAAAGACTACGTGACGAAAATATTGGATTTTAATGGAAATTCATCAATTTCGACAGCTGTTCACACAAAAATCCACATGTTTCAGTGGCTTTTCGATCGAAAAATCTTTGACGAAACGAGAAAAATGATCTTAGAGAATAAGGATATCACTGAAGTAAAGATAATTTCAAACTATGAAGCACAGATTTTGAAAGATTCTTTAAGAAAAAGTATGATGAGATCGAAATTATCGATCGGAGTGGATCTACGGGACTTGAAGGCATCGATTTGAGATTTCTATTTGAATACAAAACTGCCTTTTTATCGTTCCATGTTGTCCAAGATACAGTAATCTTTCTTGGAATTACTTTTCGCTGTGATTTGGCCATTGATTTTATTTGTTATTCACAATTAATGTGTTTGAGTGTGGAAAAAGATGTGTTTGGTGGAAAAGTTCAAGTTTTGAGAGATAAAGAAGAATATTTTGAGTTCTATGATCTGTTTTGAGGTTTGTTTTTGCGAGAAATAAATTTGTCAATCTGTTGAAAACTTTGAAAGGTCGAAAATTAATTAGAAAACTTTGAAATTAGATGTATCTGATAATCAATTAAAGAAAAGATTTTTTTTCTTTGAAAAAAGAACAGATTCTGATATGATAACAAAGTGATTATTCAGTAAAAAATTTAAAAAAAGGCTCTCTTCTTTGTTTTTTTCGGAATTCATCATAAAAGCAGTCATTTCTCGGTATCTCTTATCAAAAATTTCTTACCAGAAATTGAAAAATCAATAATCTTCAATCAGTATCAGGACTTGATATCAAAATGGGAAAGAAAATCTAATTTCCGCCATGTATTTGTCAAGAGTTCCATTTTATGGAATATTTCTCACGTGAATTCTTTTCGTTTTTGGTCTCTTCCTGATACAGCCAATGTCAACGTGATAAGAGGAATCTTATGTGAACGATTTTTGGCTCTTGCCCGACTCGATGAGATGACTGAAACAGAAAAGTGGCAATTTTTTGAGGAGATCCTAATCGTGAATCAAGATTTCTCCCAGAAACTCAGCCCGATTACTGTAATTAGAGAAAACGATTTCTATCGAAATTTTGATAAATATCTAGAAACAAGAGATTTCCAAAGAAAAACCGCACTGAGTTTTTTCCCCGCACTTGCTCGTTTCTGATTTCGCTTTACAAGAGTTTTGCTACAAATTAACTTTTCATTCCTTGTTGATAAGTGAAAATATGAGTTTCACATGGATGGAATTGATTGATTTACTTGATTTGGTCATGCACAATATCGAAGAAGTTAAGAAAACTTTTACAAGAAGAAAACAGTATAAATTTCGTTTCCTTGGAGAGTTGAGAAATATTTGGTGTGAGGATCTTTTCTCAAATGTTACCTTTAAAAGGGATCTCGGTGAAGTTCAACCATACAATCTTTTGGATATGACAGGAAGAGACATTGCACAAGAAAATCACACATTCACCATCGATCACGAGCCCATTCGACGCGCTCTATATGCAAAAAGAGAATCCATCAAATTTTACTCGATTCAAGAACGTAAAAAACAAATACGACTTCTACGATTTTGTAAACGCATTTTGCCAAAGATCCGAACCTCTTTTTTATGTTCACAATTTCTCGACTCCTAAACGCCAGTATGAGTACATTATCAGGTCAGCAATTGTACTGACTTTCTTAGCTCTAGCCTCGAAAATTGTCACCAAATTCCCAGGCAATATTTATTTTCAAGATTTAGTCCCTTATCCAAAGAAACAATCTCGTTGCGCATGTGCAAGTGCTTGCAAAATCAAAGATTTTCCCAAAAGCGACCCGTTAAGCAAGATAAAGGCTCGTTTTTCTACTTGTGAGCAACAAAATGGAAAAGATTTTCACAGAAAAATGCTGAACAATCTCAAAACATTGATTGCTTTTGAAAGTGATTGGCCTTATCAAGGACCATACTATCGAATGGGCCGAGATCGAGCGTCTCGTCTCTTATGGGAGTCGAGTCCAACTTATCAGATCATCGCCAAATGTAACTGTTCACCGTGTTGTGAAACGGGGATTTTTCCGGAAAATGCGCCGATTTCTGAGTTAAAGTTTGAGTACTCAACATGCACAAAGTTGAATCAACGTGAATTCCTCGAAACGCATTCGCTTTTCGAAAGGACAATGCGTCTTTTGAATGAATGGGAAAATCTCAGAGACTCCATTAGTCTTGGATACATTTTAGATAAGCTATTCATTGAAATTAGTAAAAAACGATTCGTCGTTTGACTTCTTTTTTGTTTATTTTAAGAAAGGTGTCCGAGTGTACGATTATGTGGCTCAAGGAGAGGATTTCAAAGCCGGTTTATTGGTGGAAGTGACCCCGGGGTACGAGAGCTAATTTTTGAATGAGAATTTGAAACTCATCTGTGTTTCACGAGAATGTTGGTATCGGATTGGTTTATGTTGCTTTAAATGAGTTAAAAGAAATTCTCGAGGTCATGCATCGATTTTTGACTGATGAGAAAAAGGGTTTGCATTCAAGAATTCTTTTGAGAGAAAATTCATAAACTTTTCATAGATTTAAATCATTCCTACAGTTAGAGTTTTTATTCAATTTTTCAATTTATTATCTTATTTTAGAGTTCTCGTCAAATTTTGATCAAAAAGGATATTATGAAACGATGCACAGGGCAATCGAAAGATTTTGGTTGAATCGAAAAATCATTAAACACTAGACTTAAGCTTTCTGGTTAGATGCTGATGTTCAACAATTTATTCAGCAACAATTTTATTGATCTCGAAAATAAAGATTACATTTAATGAATATAATTTAAAAGAGAAAAATAATAAAGAGAAAAAACAGCAAAGAAACTGAGTAGATTTTGTGGGAATTTGTTTTCGAAGAGAGGGAATTTCGAGAATTTCGAGGAACATTTGTACCTGAAAACATGTTTTTTAATGAACTGGTTCATTTTATTCTTGAAAATGACCATCTTTGATGTGTTAATTCGATTTGATGTGTTAATTCTAAGTGAAAAATGATGACAGAGACACGCTTGAGAATTGAACTTTCACCAAAGCAATTGAAAACATTTTTGGGAAAAGATTTAAAAGAGAATAGTCAATTTTCTATTTTCTCAGCTTCTTTACTTATCTAGAATTTCTTTTTTTTTTTTAATTTTGGCATTAAACGTTTAGAAAGATTTTTCAAATTTCTTTCACAATTCATTTTTCATTTTCTTTTGACAATCTTTGAAATTCCCAAAAAATGAAGGCTTATGCGATATAATTTGAGGTGAAAAGGGGAAAGGAGCCGAGAAAAAAGACATCGGTGTTCGAGAGAGACAAGCAAAGGAGAAAAAGAACAAAAGTATTGATGAAATCGGTGCTTAGGCGATGTTATTATACAACTGTTATTATGCCCATTTATATTCTTTTTGGTTCACAGTCATTCTTGTCAAGGACTCGATCTTTGCTTTGTTTTACTGAATGAGACGACTCATTTTGACAGCTTTAGATTGGACTCGTCCGAAAGATCCACCAATGTCTCTAGGTAATCAAATTATTGTAGTCTTACCTAGTCTGAAATTCTAAAGATTTACGAAGCTTGCTGGAAATAGCAAAATACTAAATATCAAGGTATTTTGACATTAAGTATTTGAAATTTGAAACCAATACTGTAGCTTTTATTAAATTATCTTCAAACCATAAAGCTTTGAAGAAAGTTTCACGTTCAAAAACCCAGAATCGTTTCAACATCTTATTCATCAGCTCTGAAAACAGTTGTTTCTCTAGGTCATGCCTCAATCCTTGCAAATCTTCTCAAGAATGGTGTCAACGTAATCGAGAAATCGTGGAATGTCAACAATGACACCTTCGATTCTGATCAAGTTGTCGATTTTGCTTTCAAATTCTCCGATTCCCACCCCGATTTTGGAATTGGAGCGTTTGTGTGGAATGAACGATATGTACAGAAGATCATCAAAAAGCTAAAAGACAACAAGTTCCCAGGTACAAGTTCACAAGCAGCTAAGATAGTTCAGTTCTCCAGGAAACATTATCATTGGTGGTCCACAAATCAGCTATTTGAAGTCAAATCTCGAGAAACATTATCAAGAAGCTGATATTTTCATTCGAGGATATGCAGAGAATTGTCTACTCGAATATCTTCAATCAAAAGAGAAATATCCGAAGATTGCTGGGCTTCACTTTGCTGGACAAGCAGATGGTGAGTATATGAAGAGTTTTTACAGAAGTTTGCTTACGATTAGTTTCCTTTTCATTCATCACCCTTTTCTAGACAATCGTGTTGCCCGTGCTGGTTTGGAATCCCTTCCTTCCCCAATCCTTTCCGGTCTAATCCCTCCACAACATTTCATTCGATGGGAAACACAAAGGGGATGTCCATTTCGATGCTCTTTTTGTCAACATCGAGAAACGGATCTCGGGGGAGAAGCGTTGAGAAGAAGGAATTTTGAACAATTACGGTAAATGGCATCTATCATCCATGTTTAGTCATTTCCTTCAGTTTCTATTATAAATGTGATCATTTCAGAGTCTTCGACGAGATCCAATGGCTGGCTGAGAATAAAATTGGTGATCTAGCGGTGGTGGATCCAACTTTCAATTCGGGAAAACAACATGTCGGAATCATTTCGGGTAGAAAAGACTAAAGACCAACAATCCTCTTCTAGAGCTAGCTGATCGTGGCTTTACCGGAAAGATCGCTCTCCAGATTCGTCCAGAAATGATCAAAACAGATTTCATGGAAGCAATCGTGAAGTTAAACCAGAAAGTGATCTCATTCCACATTCTAGAGATCTTCAATCTTTCAGTCAAAAGTTGTACTTGAATTCGGATTGCAAACAATTCACAAAAACGAAATGAAAGTGATCAATCGAATGAATCACATGGAAAAGGTTGAAAAAGCTGTACAACAATGTAAAGAGAATGGAATTGAGTTTGAGGTGAGGATTGATCGACGAAAGATTCCCATTTTCTTCAGATTTCAATCATTTACGGTCTTCCATCTCAAACATTGGAAAGTTTTGAAAAAACAGTGGATTATTGTATGAAATTGGAACCGAATACCCTTCATGCATTCCCATTAATGCTTTTAAGAGGCACTGAACTTTATGAGAACAAAGAGAAATTTGGATTGGTGGAAGGTTAGTGGAAAATGATAAAAAAACAAGTAAAGAATAGCTTTCAAAGGGTAAAACTCAAGTCTAACTCAAGACTGACTTCTTGTGAGATCTTCTTGAAGTTCAAGCAAAGAATTGTAGGGCTTTGAACATTTTTCTTTCTTACAGGCTTCGAAACTCCGCAAATCACGACAATACGCCAACAAGACGGCATTCCCCATGTAATTTCAAGTCCTACATTCACTTTCGAAGAATGGAGGAAAATGGCTGATTTGGCTGATTTCATTGAGACCGATTACAATAAATAACAATCCCATTGTCTTTAAGCAATTTCTCTTCCAATATTTTATTGCCCTACTTACAACTTTGAAAACTTTGTCGGTGTCGGTATCTTGTCTCGTTTTAAATAGGTACTCATCGATTACAATGGCCGTATTTGCCAATGGCAGATTCTATCAAGCAGCATCAAAAAAGTGATAAACTTAAACGTTTTTCTACTAAGAATGTTTTCTTTAGTTGATTATTTGCCATGGCGGGACCAGGAATTCTAGGAGATAGGGGTACCCGTGCCTACTTCCCTTCCTAGTATCGCGCGGCTCCTCCAACTTTGCATCTCCCGGTCAGAAAGTGTTTTTAATCGAGAGAGCATGCTTTAAACTATGTTATAAATAAAAAAATCTTGCAAAGGTTCATTATTCGTATATTTGAAAAACGGCCAGTGTAATCGATAAGTACCTAAAATATGTTCAGAGTTGTTCTTGGTGAATGTGAATGTGATTTCTTGAGGGGTCCATGATTTACAAATGTATAATAAAATAAAATCAACAGATACAAGACGAGTACAAGACGTTTACAGTACAGGATTTGAAGTACAGGATTTGAAGCCATCCGATCGTGCCATCAATCACAGCCTGAGACTTCTCTCTTCTTGAGTCAAGAAAATGAATGATGGAGATGTTGAAACTCAATGGGTTTTTTTTGAGAGAAGTACGCATCGCTGGAGAGTGAGCACTCGACAATATTTCTCAAATTTTCTTGAACCTAGTTTTCCAAAGAAGAAATCATCGCTTCTTTAACAGTTTTAATTCTAAAAAAATTTTTCAAATGATAAATAAAGAAGTCTAGCACCTTTTGCGCCATAACACTTTAGTAGCATGGGCCTCAAACCAAGCACTCCATCTTATTAGGTTGTCTCATAAAAACCCAGAGATTTTGAATTTCATTTATTTTCAGCACATAGAAACAAGGAAGAATCAGAATAGAATTATATATTTTTCAGATGAATTTATAACTCTTCTCCAACGTAGATTGCCAATCCCTCGTTCGTAAAACCCAAGCGGGCGCGAGCGAAAATAGTCGTTCAATTCGTCCTCGAGTTCGCTCTCATCTTTGAACTTTTACCACGTAAGAAATCCTTTAGCGACAAGAACAAGTCAGAAGGGGCAACATCCGGAGAATACGGTGCATGAGGAATGATATTCCAGTGTAGGTTGTCCTTCACAAAATCGATCGATCTTTCTGATTTGTGAGAGTTTGCGCCATCCTGAAGAACGAAAACGGGGCCGTTCCATTTGTTTTCATAGAGCAACCTTCCGACTTTTTGTTCGACTTTTATCATATGATATAGATAGACATCGGTGTTGAAATTTTGCCTGCGTTTGAGAAGTTCACAGAAAAGGACGCCTGTCGAACACCAGTAGACACACAACATTCGCTACTTTCCGTGGATGTTCCGTTTTGGCACCATTTTTCCCTACTTGCCCTTTCTTCAACCACTGCCGTTGTAACACTCGACCATCGTAGAAAATCCACGTTTGATCATGAGTTATGATGTTTGAAAGAGGAAGCCAACCATGCCGGTATTCGCTCCACAAGTGGTGGCATATCCGCTTTCTTTTGGTTTGGGTTGTTTCCGACATTTCGTATGGGGTTTAGTGTTGTTTTCTCCAATTTCTTCCCACTCTTCGCAGCCATCGCCACACAGTCATACATCCACAGTAACGTCCAGCCAATTTTCGGGTTGATCCATCGGGATTTTCCAGGAATCGGCACCTCAGAATCGATCGATCCACTTTCTGGGGTTGGCCGCTTCCCCTCTTCGGTTTGATCTTCGTGTTGCCCGTCTTGAATTTGTGAAACCATTCCTGTGCAGTACTCGTTTCAACGAGTTTGTTGCCATAAAATTGATTGATTTCTCGTGCTGCTTTGGCCGCTGAAATCCCTCTTGAAAATCGTTGGAGCAGTTGGTCGTGGATTTCTTCTCGAGTTGGCTTCATTCGATCGACTACAACTTTCTTTTCGTGTCGATCCCTAAAAAATGAATGTTAATGCAAGAAAAAAGAAAGTTTAAGCATGAAAAAGAAAAAAGAAAAAAGAAAAATACAAAACGTTGTGTTGGGAGCGAGTAGGGATCAAAACAAAAAATCTCTAGGTTTTTATGGGACAACCTAATACTATGTTGCAATTGATTAAGCGAAATATTGGATTCAGCTAGTGCAAAGTTCAGTAATGTATCATTTTTCTTATAAAAATTACATTTTCCAATCTAGGCATTAACAAAGCTTTGTCTTTTGTATCCGCACTTGCTCGTTTCTGATTTCGCTTTACAAGAGTTTTGTTACAAATTCGCTTTTCATTCCTTGTTGATAAGTGAAAAGATGAGTTTCACATGGATGGAATTGATTGATTTACTTGATTTGGCCATACACAATATCGAAGAAGTTGAGAAAACTTTTACAAGAATAAAACAGTATAAATTTCGTTTCCTTGGGGAGTCGAGAAATATTTGGTGTGAGGATCTTTTCTCAAATGTTGCCTTGAAAAGGGATCTCAGTGAAGTTCAGCCATACAATCTTTTGGATATGACAGGACGAGAAATTGCGCAAGAAAATCGCACATTCACCATCGGTCTCGAGCCCATTCGACGCGCTCTACATGCAAAAAGAGAATCCATCAAATTTTACTCGATTCAAGAACGTAAAAACAAATACGACTTCTACGATTCTGTAAACGCATTTTGCCAAAGATCCGAGCCTCTTTTTTATGTTGACAATTTTTCGGCTCCGAAACGCCAGTATGAGTACATTATCAGGTCAGCAATTGTACTGACTTTCTTAGCCTTAATTTTATCTAATGCTTTAACTTTTCAGAATCACCTATTCAGAATCAGCAAAAACTCAATGCTAAGAAGATGACACTAAAAAAGATTTTTTGAAATACAGCTTCTCTGTAAAAAATTTTTGACCAAAAATAAAGATTATAGAGCGTATTGCTCATTTATGCTAGCTTTACCCCATAAGGAATTATTTTTCTCGTGCAGAAGTGAACTGAATTTAAGCTGGAAAATAATCAGTTATCAAAAATCCCTAAAATTTTAAGGAAAAGCTGCACTCTTTTTTGTACGAGTAATTTCCTGGAGTCGACTTGTAAATAATAGAAGAAAAAGTTCTCGGCATTGGTGGATTTGTTTTTAAGAAATTCGAGTCAAACTCTTTCCGAGAACTTTCTTTCCAACCTAATAGCAAAATCCACAGGTAAAAGGTTGCGATGTGCTGAAAATACCTTGTTTCATTTATATGCTGCTTGACTGATGTGATTCGAAAAACAAAAATGATTTCACGTAAAGACAAGGTCAGCTCAAATGAAAAAACGATCTTCTTTGATAAAAAGAGACAGTCGTTTGGCTGGCGTAAAAGAATTGATCCTCGAGACACTTTTCGATTCTCCATTTCAATTTGATCCAATTTAAGCAATTTGTTCTCCAGTTTTCCTGATCAGTCCTTCAAATTTCAATGTATCTTCCAATTCACTGTATTCTTTTTCTTTTTCTCCACATTACTGCCATAAGAATACGCATCTCCAAGACCTCCACCCGCAACAACTATCCACCGCCGATCAAAAAAAGTTTACCCATTGACATCTCAAGTCATATTTACGTGATCGACCGACCCCCACCCGGGGTTGTCAAAAAGAGGTAACCAACTTAGAACCTTATTATATTCTATTCTATTTAGTGGACAAGAAACCGGCAAAGTACCCAAGTATGATTTCTCCGATAATAGCCCCAGCAAAAAACAAATAATCGAGGTACATAAGCCAAGAAAATTTTTTTGAGACCATCTTACTATGTTCTTTTTGCTTATAAGCCATCTATATTACTAAAGAATGATTTTTCAGGTCATCAATGAAGATGAAGTATATCCACACAAGTACGCTGCGGCGCATCCAACTACAACAACTCAGCCAAGATTGGTAATGACAAAATTTAAGAACAATCAACAAAATACTCAAAGGCTTTCAAGAAGTTTCACTAGATTTTAGTTCCTGGTCTCCTAGCAACAATCTAGCCCCTATGTTATGTTATTCTTTAGGTTTCGATTGAGGCAAAAGTTGAAACACCTTCTATCTCACCTACAACAGCAACGATTGATGCAATTAAACAAAAAAATGAAAGAGAGTATCAATACAAAACAAGATCTGACTACGATTCAAAAGATGATAGTTTTTTGGTTAGTTTGGTTAGTTTTTTGCGAGTTTAAACATTTAGCATAAAGTTGATTTTAGTCTTTGCTCATTGCTACTTTCACTATATTGCTGATCATCGTTATTGTGATTGTTTCGCTCAAATATTGCTGCCTCTTGAGAATCAGGTAAGGATAGATGGTGCTCTTTGTTTATAGAAAGTTTTAGGATAAAGAGGAGAGAGGAGATAATTCTTTTAGCTGATGACGAGGTAAGTTGAGAAAGCGACAAATTTCACCAAAGCATTTCTTAAGTCAGTGATGTTGCGCTTGATTGGAAGTGGTGGATTTGGGCAAGTCTACGAGTTGGTCGGACAGAAACCGTGAGTATTCAGAGAAAGAAACGAAGCCAAGGGAAAGGAATTTAGAGCAGCTGTCATCAAAATCATGAACGCTTCACCGAAATTCTACGAAAGCGTTGAACATGAATACAAACATTTGAAATTGATGAAACATCCCAATGTGGTCCGCTTGTTGCAAACGGAAAGAATGGAGAAGAGAGGCGAAGTCGGTATTGTGATGGAGTACTGTCAACGGGGAGATTTGAAAAAATGTAAGTTGAATTTGATGATTGAGATTCTGATACAATGAGACTCAAAAGATAAGGAATAGATAATCTTAGTATTATTGGATCAAACGATCGTCTACTCGATGAAAACGGTGTACTGTTGGACGGTCGAGCTGTTGAATGCACTTCAATACATCTTCGATACACACAGTGTCATTCATCGGGATATCAAACCTGAGAAGTAACACATTATGTTCTAGCCAATTTATCGATATAATAGCGTTTTTATCACCGATAAGTGGTGTTTGAAAATTGGCGACTTTGGCCTTGCCAAATTCATCCAACAGACACAGACGGGCACTTTTGCCGGAACTCTTCGTTACATGAGTCCATTGCAAAGGGATGTTAGCCAAGATGGAGCCGAGTCTTCAAGCGGTCGACTTTTGGTGAGACAAAGAAACAAATAACTTATTGGGTTGGTGGATATGATTTGGCACGTTTTTTGAAACGAAATTTTTCTTTAATGAACAACTTCAAATCATGCAAGATATTTGCCATTATTTTGTATGATTTGTGCCCATTTTACTGGCAGAAGTGAACTGCCTCTCTCGTAGAAAATTCTTACCGTAAATACTGTAATTGGACCCCACCCTTCTGATAGTACCCCACCCCCACCTAACGCGTAATTACAAACAACGCTTTTAGAGCGGAAAATTTTCAGAGATCGTTTGTATTTTTAATTTTATGCCATAAATTTGTTGTTTTTCAATTTGGGGTGGCTACTTTGCGCCAAATTTTTTTGCGCAGCTCGCCATAACTTCCTTCTAAGTGGGCCAATCTTTATGATTGTAGATCTCAACAAGTGCAACAAAGTAACACCAAAATCATAAAGATTAGCCCACTTAGAAGACTTGAACCACTTATAAGCCACTTGAACTCGGAGGGGATTGATATCGGTTCGGCTGAATGGATACGGGATCGTCGAGCCGAGAAGAAACAAGTGACACGCCGGATTATCTGGAATGAAGCGGCTAATCGATTCGAAAAAGCTGAAATTTCTTTCAAAAAAAGCCATGGCTGGATGGAGTCGTTCTTGAGGCGCCACCAACTTTCTTTGAGGGCACCAACAACAACTTGTCAAAAGCTGCCGAGCGAATTTGAGAAGGCCATCGTCAAGCACATTCTGAGGCTGAACAAGACAATCAAAGAAAGCGACTACAAGCCCATTGTTGCTTGCGATGAGACGGCGGTTTGGCTGGATGCTTCGACGAGCAAGTGCATCGAAGCGGTTGGGGCCAAAGAAGTTGGTGTTCTCACCCGCGGCTACGACAAAATGAATATATCCGTGATGCTCACTGCTCGTTCCGATGGGAAAAAGTTACGCCCTTTTGTCGTGGTGCCTCGGAAAACGAGACAAAGTTCCCATCAAAGTTATTGCTCTGTTGGAAAGAGAAGAAAAGCAAGTGCCTCGATAATGAGATCACGGCGGAATACTTGTAACACTCTTTCGGTGGACTTATCTTTAATTATTATCTTTAATCTATTGTACAGGCGATGCGAAATGCTCGGGCAGAGACAGAAATCAAGGACCTCTTGGAGCCGCTCGCATCGACGGGATTTCAAGGACATCGAGGAATTGATGATCAAGAAAATGATGAATTCATTGATTCGGATGTTTCTATTGATTTCGCTTGTTAGTTGTTTTTGCTTCGTTTTGCTGTTAAATTTTCAAATGGCTAAAACCAATAAAAAATAAAGAAAAAGTTTGCTTTTGAACAAATTATTTGAACGTATCCTGATTTGGTAACTCGAATAGTGGTGTAAAATAGTAACCCACCCTCTAATAGTACCTCACCCTAGAGGGGGAGGGAAAAAATAGTACCCCATGGGGTCCAATTACAGTATTTACGGTAATATTAGCCGAACACTAGAGGCCCTTGTGTCCTTGTAGAAATTCCTACAACATAACGCGTCGCAGATCTCCAGGTGGTAGATTTTCAATAGTTAGAGCAAAGTAAAGTAAAATTCCAAAAACCAAATATGTTAAAAGGGAAAGTCCATTGTTTTCGCAAGAGTGAATGCTCTCATGTTTGTTTACATCTCTGGAATTTAATTTGAAAAAATGTGCCAAGTCATACCCATGAACCCAATACATGTAATTGAAAGGATTCCCATCGCAACGATGTTTACGGTATTGGCTTGGTTCTATGGGAAATGGTCGAGAGGAGGTAACCAGTTGAATACAATTGAACGAGAGCCCTTTCTTGGATCTCTTCCATAGACTATCTTAGTTTGAATGAATCATTTGTATCAACGTTTGAGTCATTTTAGAACCGTGCTTGTGGAATATGATCGAAATGGGTGGTTCGATCGAGATCTCTTCAATCAGGATGTCACCTCAAAGAAATTACAGAAAGTGGCTGCCCCCAATTGTCCTCGTCAGCTCCAAGAAATCATTGAGAGGTCAAATTCATTTCCGAATCATTAAATCTCTCCATTTCAGATGTACAAATTTTGACCTCTACTTCCGACCAAAAGCTATTGAAATTTTCGAAGAAATGAAAGCGCACAGAGTAGTCTTAAGAGCTAATCTTAAAAAAGAGAAATTTAGAGTGACTCGACGATTTCGAAGCTGCTTTTCTTGCCGATTGAAGCAAAAAAAACAAACGAAAACACTTCGTCCGATCGGCTTTGATGGCACTGACGCTAGAGTGCCGGTAGAAACAATCGACTTGACTATTACTCCTGTTTCCTCCTTTTAAAATGTTCAACTCTAAACAGCACATTCATTATGTTCAAACCATATACTGTGGATAAAAGTTAGATCATAAAAATACATAAATCAAAATTTGCGTTTTATAATCTTTTATTTTATAAAAAAAAAATTATGATGGCTGCTGGGGGGAGGCCCTCTAATTTTTTTATTTTTTTGCCCCCCCCCCCCCCCTCCCGAAAAAGTTTTTCTGGCTACAGACCTGGTGGCAAGCTAATGAGCTTCAGCTAACGACGATAATTATTGGTGTTCAGCAGATTTAGCGAATTTCCCTTTTTTTCATTCAAGTGAAACCTTTTTCGCCACAACAAGACAAAGCAATTCATTATCTTTTTGCGAATGGAACAAAAATAGAATTGCATTTTGCAATTGCACTGCAATGCAAAAATTTTGCATTTGAGAAAGAAAAACATGCCCAACATCTTCCAAATCTTTCAGGAATTTCAGTTTAAAGCAAAAAATTAAAAGAGAATAGCCAATTTTCCATTTTTTCAGCGTCTTTGCTTATCTAGTATTTCATTTTCTTTAAGTTTTGGCATTAAACTTTTAGTAAGATTTTTCAAATTTCTTTCACAATTCATTTTCCATTTTGAAAATTTTGAAAATTTCCATAATGAATTTTCTTTTCTATTCACCTATCTTTTTTAGGCATTTTTCCTGTTATCATAAAGATAATGCTCCTTTCCCCGTCGATTTCTCATGTAATTCCCTTCCTTGGGTAGACGTTTATCGATTCTGATCTAGCACTTAAGAACCTTTACGGGTTCTTTCACTCTCAAAGTCACAAAGTATACCAGGGTTTCTTTTTTCAAAAAAAGAGTCGTCCCAGCATAAATAGTAGAGAAAATCATATCGGTTCAACGTTTTAAACGATGCCTATTTTCTCCTTATTCTTTCTCTTCTACATAACTGCCACACAATCGTTAATAACGGTTTTCAATTTAACCACTCAATTCCCATCTTATGCTTTGCATGGAGTTAATTTGGATAAATGGAAGGTAAATCATTAGAGAGAATCAAAAAAGGTTTTCCTCAATCACTAGCTGAGCACGGCTTTCTTATATAACTCTTTAACTGGAGCTTATTTTTATGTCTAACTCAAGTTGTTCCCTATGTTCAATTTTCATCTCTAAATTAGAATCATAATTGAGTAATTGTGCTCAACACTTTAGATTATTCAAGTGAACGGTTGTGTCGATTGTGATTTCCTTGTCGATTTCTCTTTTCGCGTGTGCAACGAGGTGCCGAATGGACAAGAAGGAGTGAGTGATTTGAGGAGGACACGAAAATGAGATCTTCTCCCCCATTTAGCACTACACCGATTAGAATATTTTTTACAAAAAACACGTTTTTCACTTTTGAATTTGCTTGAAAGTGGATTCAAATCGTCTTAAAAAGATCGAAGAATGAATAATAAACGTTTTCTATTCGATTTTATCTAGAGCCAATTCTAGGTTTGGTAATTTTGTCATTTATAAACGCTAGTAGAAAGAAGTGTCTAAAGATTTATGAGCCCAAATATAATATTACCAAACCAAACTTTATGCTCACCAGTTAGACATTTAACTAGGGGAATCGGGGGTGATTGAATTTCTCATCTGATATTAAAAATAAATACTATTGAAATTTGGATAACAGGCCCGTTTTTTTGATAAGCACACTGCTAATTTTCATATGCAAATTTTTCTTTGCCATTTTCTCAAAACAAATTGTTCAAGTGTTGCTTTTATTTGGTTGGTGAATTGAAAACTGCCGGCTATTTCGCGGGACTCGCAGATAAAAACAAGAGCATTGAACCAGCTGAAAGGGGGTTTGGTTACTGAACATTTCCTCTAATTATTCCGAAAAAATGATGCTTCTAGCTTTTTATTTTTTGGTATTTTTCTTTACTTCTTCTATGACACTCGACATATTCGTCATGTCATGCTTCATGAGTTCCTACAAGAGCACAGTGCAGGCTTGGCAGTGCTGCTAATATTAAAAAGATATATGGGGAGGACTCACCTTCCAAAAGAACGTGTCGAGTATGGTTTGCCAAGTTTCGATCTGGGGACAAATCTTTGAAAGATGCAGAGGGCCGTGGAGCGGCACCCCAACTGGATGACTCCAGATTACTCGAACTCATTAGCAACGCCCATCGGAGAAGAGTTAGGGGTTGATCATGCTACAGTGCTAAGAAACCTTTACACCCCTGGATTTAAATCGAAACTTGGGGCTTGGGTGCCCCATGACCTCACTGACCCCCAGAAGTGGCAGGGCGCCTCGATCAGTGCCGTCCATCTCTCACAATACAAAAGGAAATATTTTCCTTTTCGAATTGTGATAGGAGATCAGAAATGGGTTTTATCTGTGAACTTTCAGAGGAAGTGGCAATGGGTGGGGTCAGGCGAGAAACCCGAAAGTGACCCTAAGCCCGATTTGCACCAGATGAAGTTTATGCTCTGCGTTTTCTGGGAAATGGAGGGAGTGGTGTACTGGGAGTTGCTGGATAGCAAGACGACTGTTAATGCAATCAAATACAGTGAACAGTTGGGAAAGGTGAATGAATCCCTGAAGAAGAATAGGCCCTCCGAGTCCAAGATCGTTCGCATCCACGACAACGCGCGCCCTCATGTGGCACAATTGACTCGCTCTAAAATAAATAGCCTTGTTTGGGAACTTTTGGCACATTCCCCATACAGTCCGGACCTCGCCCCTTTTGATTACTATTTATTCTGGATCATGAGTAATGAGCCTGCGAAAGAACACTTCGATTCGGAAGAAGCGGTCAAAAATTGGCCTTGAAAGTTTTTCGATGCAAAAGCAAAATCCTACCACGAAAGAGGAATCCGCAAATTGCCTGTAAAATGAGCAGAAGTCGTCAATAATAATGGAGATTATTTGAAATGAATTCATGGTTTTATGTTGAATAAATTTTAGTTTAAAGTCCGGCAATTCTCAATTAACCAACCCAATACTTCAGAGTCGATCCCAATGTTCGCTCTACCGCTCAGTGCCAATGAATCCACTGGAAGAGAGTGTTTTTTAGTCGAAAAAAGTACGATGGTCACTCTCGTCGCCGATCCGATTCTAGCACCGTTTGTCGAATTTCACTAGAAAAAACCTGGGTTTTTTTCTTTCATAAAGAAGTCCGCTCGTGAATACAGTGCTTTTGCTGGAGATGCATGGTCGACATGACCATGTAGATAACGAGGATTACCCGGATCCGATCCCGCTGTATGAGGTGAGATCAAGAATCAACTGTTTTGGCTTATAATGCAACGGTCTCGACTCGACCATTCAGAATCAATACGAAACTCAAAACATCTTTTTACGGTGAGCAGGTAACCTAACGATTAGCCTCATTGTTGGTCAAATAATCCTCAAATAAAGAACATTAATTGTGGCTGAATCAATTGGAATTTCTGGACAAACTTGAGCGCTTCTAGAAAAAGCATTAATCGATGATTGAAACATGGCTTAATTCATTAGGTGGACCTCACATGCAATTGGCCCTTCACCTATTCGCTTTTTGCCGGATCCGATCCGGGTCTGCGATGGCGAGAATCTCTCGATTTTTCTCTCGATCAGTCAGTTCTCAAAAATAGCTTTTCCAAAGATCTTCAGAGCGTCAATCTATTCAACATCCACCGTCATCACTCTACTCGGCAATGACTACTGTACTTTTGCGGCTATTTTGGGTTTGCGAATTGGCTTTTCCATTGTTTTTCTTGATTTCAGGGCAAAATTACGCGGGAGCGATCCTCAATTATCCTCCAATTTATCTTACATCATACAATTATCCATGGCCTTTCGATAATCCAACCGATTACCCACGATGTCAACAGGCTCGAGCCGATTTCTCACCGTTAATTGTGGGAATTTTAAACAATTAGGATCTTTTAGTCCAGATGTCTATAGGAGCATGTAGTTGACCTCTTTATACTCAACTATTCCCTAGATTGACTGAGTTTTTAAAATTTTATTTAATAGTGAAAAGAACTTCTGAAAAAGTTGTGGATAAAAGAGACGCGAAACGTGTTTTACCGTTATGCTCCTATAGACATGCAGCCGAAAATTCCCAGGTTTACTCTGTCATTCTGCGGAATAATTGAGTATAAAGGGTTTCCATTATACTCCTCTAGACGTCTAGACCAAAAATACCATTCCCACGATTGGGACACGAGTGAATTTTAGTCAAAAACCGAGCGCGGCATCGCCATTGATGTGATCAAATTGGAAAACGGTACTCTGAAACTGTTTTATGGCACAAATCCATCAAACGACAAGGGATATTGCCTGAATCCGAAAATCGAATCAAAAAGCATCGAGTTTGTGGCAGAGATTAGCAGAGATTAGCAAAAATGGGATCATTTCAGTCTCGTCGATCAACAAAAAGTCGCCGTTTTAGCGGAATGCTTTCATGTGAGATCGCTTAAAAAGCAATAATTGGATGGGAAAATATTATAGCTTGAGTTTTATCCCCTTCAAAAAGACACAAAAGATCGTTTTGGCTTTGTGGTGAAGGCGAGTCGAGCGCCGGTCGATCCGAAACTCGTCGAATGCAAGCTGACCCACACGTTGAGCACCGAGAACCCACAAGTTCTCCTCAACGTCGAAGATATCTTCTTACTAGAGGGTTCGTTTATTGCTTCGTCTTTTGCTACTTGTTTTCTAGTGGGCTAAGGACTAGGCTTCGGCTAAGTTAAGGTTAAATTAACATTTAACTTCTTGCAAATAGGCCCAGATGACTGTCATTGTGATAATTCTTAAAGAAATCTCCGCGATTTTTCCTGAAAATGTGTTAACTTGATGAGCGTCTTTAAATAGTAGGCAGAGGTGTTTTTAATGCAAATTTTGTGCCCACCAAATGTCCAAACACTTTTTTGAAATCATATTTAAAAAGACGCTGGTACGAAACCAATTTGTGTGGAGAGGAAATGTGGAAATGCTTCGAGTTGTCCGATCATCATTGATATTTCGTTTTCTTGTTTCATTGAGGATGAGGTATCAGAAAAGTGTCACTCTTATTTCTTTTTCTTTGCAGAACCGTTGCATCAACTCATCCCCATACACAATCAACGGTGAACGTCCAGAAATCAAAGATTGGGAGATTCGGTGATAACTCTCTGTTTTTTATTTGACGATTTCTTTCAGGTACACATCTCGAGGTGTATTTCTTCTGCTACAGGCTCGTCTTATCAAAGAAAGTCGCGTCTATTTGAGTTCGGATGCCGATCTTTCGGCCGCTTTCTATGGGGGCTACTCATTTCGATTGCCCAACACAACGCTCGGTTGGTTTACTCAAAAGAGTTTACAGAGAAGAATTTTTGCTCCATTCTAAAAGGCACTCCTACCATCACCCGCGCGATTTTTCCCCCTTTTCTTTTAAAAGTCTTTTTTTTCATTTATTTGCTATTTGGCATTTGGCAGAAAAAAAATGGGAAATTCTAAAACTTTAAACGTTTAAAGCTTTGCGAATATGAAATGTCGTCCATCGATTTGAGAAGATACGTAAAACAAAGCTTCTGCCATTTTAATTATTAAAAACGACTTAACTTTCTTTCTGGAGTTGCTCCGTCACGTAATAAAGTCGAATTTCGTCGGAGAAGGAAAGAATTTTTTTATTTTAAAAATAAAAAAATAGCAAATAAATGAAAAAACACGCTTTTAGAACAAAAGAGCGAAGATTGCGCGGGTTACGGTGCATTTTAGTGCACTCACACCGGTTTGAATCCGACCAGCACCACAAAGTTCAAGACCGACATGAGAATGAGATGATCTAGTGATAAGTTATGACCAGTTTGAACAGGATCAAAGTTACAAAAAACTACGAAATTTCGGTTGTGATCGAATTGGACCGAATGCTCATGTCTAGTGATTTCCCCTTCCTTTCAGATGAGACGAATTTCTTCCTCTTGCCCCTCACCAATTCGCTTCACATGCTTGAATTCGGCTTTCGATTCACCGAGTCGCCACGCGGGAGGTGGTTTTCGATGGTTTTGATATATGATACAATCCTGCGACTGAGGAAATTGCGCGGAGTAAGAAGATTTAACGTTTAGTTCCTCTGGAGAACAGAGCAAATTTGACAGAGAAAGCCAAGTTATGGTCTTAAGTTATTTATTGCTTTCCACGATATGCAAGTAGTGTTAGCAAAACATTGAACGATGATCATAAAGAGTACTGGAGCAATGACCTCCCGTTTACTGCAGACATTTTCTGGTTTTCAACAAAAACCCACAAAAACTGTCTCTTAGGATCACGGGAATCGCTCGTGCGAGTATCAAATAGTGAACGGGCCACCCAGTAACTTCCTTGGCCATCCCGAGCTTCTATTGAACACGTATCGGTAAGCTTTTTAATTTTCCGGCTAAAGTCTCAAACACCGTGTTCTCCTTTCTAAAAGCCCCTGATTTCTAGAACAATAGTAATCAAAGAATTAGTTTTAAATCAAGTGCTGGCTGGCTGAGTATTGTGATTCCTCATCCATTGATACTAAAATTGTGCTGTTTGAATCATTGAGAATTAGATGAAGAGGCTTTTAGCCGATTGAGAAAAGAGCACCAAAATTTCAATGAGTCTTTAGTGATACCGATGTCTTTCAGGAGCAATCTCTCACATCTCTATCCTACAGTATCTACATACCACCTGGATGTGCTCCAAGTATCGCTCTCGGCACATATTCTTGTAAATTTTGACAGTACTTTGCTTGTTTCATATCTTTCTCGTACATTAGGCAGCGAGCTGGAACTGACACTTCGTAATTGTGGTGGGACGGTGTTTTTCGCGGCTTTCGACGATCAAGCGAGTATCCCGTTGCACGAAATAGAAGTTGCCTATTTTTGCGGTCGAGTTTATTCTTTTTTATCTTTCTTTTCTTTACCTGCAGAAATTTGGACTTAAGCAGGTCCCGGCCCAGATTCGGATCGAAAAATTTGTGCCGGTTCGATTTGGTAGCAAACTTTACAAGGCATCCGGTAGCAAGATTGTGTGAAAACCATCAAACTTATGGTATTAAATTTTGAAGATAACATAATAAGATAATTTTTATTGTATGAAATTTCTCTTGTTATGGTAGCAGACAGATGAGACTTGATAACAACAGCTGCAACGAGTGCACATGGCTTAATCACAATGCACCCACTGAGTGCTCAACAAACGTCATGTTGTTTCTCCTCTTCGATTAAAAGGAAACATATTCTGTTTGTTTTCAGATTCTTTCCCCGTCAACATATCGTTTCAAACAAACTCTATTGGATTCGGTCAAATCTCGGTTCAATATTTGAAGAATTTCGGCGACGATTGGATAGATAGCGAGTTAGCTTCTTTAAAATACCAACTTATTTTTTGACTTTGATTCAACTCTCTTTTAGCGTCAACACTACACTTTCGAATGTGCGAGAGGTTCAGGTAAAAGGGAAAACAATGAGAAAATTGATTGTGAAATACTTCAGCTTCAATCTTGGATTTTTTCCAAATGGCAGAAATACAAGAAATGCTTCATGAAGATTCATTTTGTTCGTTCTTTCGAGAATCGATTCGACGATCGATCACCAGTAACCCAAAATCCATCAAATCAAGCTGAGAGATTCCCCAATCTCATCTCTTTTTTTACATTTACTCTTTCACTAGACATCTTTTTCTTTCTCAACACTAGGTTTTTGCTCATTTTCCTGTCTTTATCACAAAGTTTTTCTATTCTTCTACAGTTTTATTGATCCAACGATAAACATTTCAAAAAGAAGCACTATAAATCGTCTTACAAACATGGAATTGATCATTTACATTCAACAAAAATCCTATTTGATTCGATTTGATTCATTTCCGACTCAAAACCATGTCTTGAACAGGTTGCACGCTACTAACAACTCAAGATATCTAAAAAAAACTCAAGATATCTAAAAACTAAGAGTGGCCGCCCGTATAAACATGGGGCCGATCTATCAGCTGCCAAATTTTCAGAACGATTGGACAACTTTTAACAAGTCTCCAGAGCTTGTCAGACAGATGGAAACCATGTCGAAAATTCGAATAATATTGTTGCTCGATCCAAAATCCAAAACCGAATCGATCCAAATTTTGTTCAGGGGTAAGAAATGGTGAAAAAAAACGATAGGCACGAAATCATTCAAAAATTCCTTCTTGGAGCCGAGTTATTTGTGCACTTTTGTGGTGAAAAAGGAATAATTGGGCAGGGGAGAAACCAGAAGTAGCTAGTTGAAGCTAGCCTGCAGGCGCGCTAGCTTCAACTTTGCTTGGCATCGGCCACTGTTATCGAAGCTTTAAGCTTGATTTCAAGAAATTTCCATTTAGTATACGCCAAAGATAATTGGGAATAGCATTCGAAAGATTGGAAGCAAAAGATGAGTGCCGAGTTTTGACGTGGGACTACGGATCTTATATATCTTGGAGTCATTCTATATGCTTCCAGTCTGTTCCTAGAAATTCCCGACTCGATCGAACTCGTCGTTTTTCGTGATTTTGACAGTTTCGACCAAATTTTTGTCAAAAATAATCCTTAGTTATAAGTGTAAGCCGCCGCCAAGTCGTTTTTGGTAGCTTTTTGAAACATTCGTCGTCTATTTTTCGTCCAGAAACCATCACTCCATAATTATTTTTATAAAAGAGAGAAGATATTGAGATTTCTCAAAATACTAATCAACCCGGATCACCTTTACTTACAAGCGTTGTATGGTGGCTTTTTTGACCCGCAGTTTCTTTTGGAAGTACCTAATAAAACCCCAATTTTCTCACAGCCGGAGTAGACATGGGCGCTACAAACTACAAAGTCAGACTACAAACCCTTGTAGAAACGCGCAGAATGGATATTTTTGAAAACGTTTTTACCAAAAAATTGGGCCAACTTTAGGCCTTCGAATGACACCACAAATATTCATTCTACACGTTTCTACAAGGGTTTGTAGTCTGACTTCGTAGTTTGTAGCGCCCATCTCTAAGGTCGAGTACGGGTTATTGATGGGAAAATTCCAACCGAAACCTAATTCCACCTTCTTTTTCTCAGCCGTCTCTTGGTCGATTGTTCTGAAATTTTGTTTACAAATAGAAATTAGCATTCTCTGTTTGTAAACAAAATTTCAGAACAATCGACCAAGAGACGGCTGAGAAAACGAAGGTGGAATTAGGTTTCGGTTGGAATTTTCCCATGTCTAGTACGGGTTGATAACTTTCCACCCTAAAATTCTAAAATACGCCTAAGCTACCGTGCTCGGGTCGACGTCTCCCTTTTCCCCCTATAAAACGAATTTGGGTCCCTTCAATAATTCTTTTGAAGTTTGAAGTATCATCTTCGTTTTTGGTAAATTTTGTTTATTGTTAAAATTTCCCTTCCCTTATTGTTTTCATCCCTCCTCCCTGTTCCCTTCTTAGAATTGTTCAAGTTCTAAAGTTTTGTACTTTTCTCGGTTCTTTCCACTTTATTGTTCTTCAAACCCGCGTCTTTCATATCACCGATAAAGTTATTAAAATCTAAACATCTCTTCTCTATAAATGTCAGTCAATCTAACCCAGCCGCGAATCGTCTCCCTTTCGTTTTGGCAAATCATTTGAGATTAGTGTTTCTGGGTTAAAAGATTTAGCAGTTTGGGTAAGGTTTCGACCCAGAATTTGGATGTTTCAAACAGTAACATGTTGCTTTTTTTATTCAAATCTCAAAGCTTCATTTCAGAAATGTTCTCCACTAACTTTCTACAAGCCAACCCCTTGTGGTCATACATCGGTAAGCTGATTTCGAGGCGTTTTGTTATCTGAAAATTTTTAGAGAAAATGAATTTCGATGAATGCGGAAAGTTCATCAAGAATTTTTTGATGGAACTGCTTGGGGTGGAGCGATTCGCGAGTCTTCATCGACGACTTGGTGGGAAGATTGATGCGGAGAATTCCAACAATTCGTCCCGTCTCTACACAGGATGCTCGTCAATGCAAGAGCGACTGATGGCAAGTGGGGTATTTTATGTAAAAAGTGTATTATCAATTGTTTTTACGGGTAACAGAAAAATCTTGCGAAAATTTCAACTTTTGATGAGCTAAAGGTTTGGAATAATGAGCTTACAAACCTTTCGGAGCCTTGTAGCTTGTAGCAAAAGAAATCAGAAATTGCGAATAGTTTCTTTGACATCAATGAAGTTTTTTAGTTAACGAGCTGCCACAATATCATGCCTTTCTGATCAAGGCAATTGGCCAAGCAGACACCCAATACCTGACGAATAAATACGAGGAGACGATCAGCGATGTCAATTTGTTCAACTATTGGAGTGGTCGATTTGATGAGGTTAACCTGGCCGTGGAACATTTGTGGTCTTTGAAGAGTTGGTTTTGCTAAACTTTTGTTGAATTTTTGAAGTTACCCAAATTAACATGACACTCATCAACTTTAGAAGATGGACAATCTCCATCAGATGATCCATATCTTCACTTCGATGTGTTCGTAATGACCGCTCTTATTGGCTTTAGTTGGGATCTTTTTTGAAAAAATGAGGTAATCGAAAAAAGGGGGCGGGCTAGCCGTAAATATTGAATTTACAGGACAAGACGTGGAGAGAAAATCGAGAACAAGAGGGGACGAGCTTGGTGGGTTTTTAGTTTTTGCTTATTTTTCATTCATTTCATTCAGTTTCTTTTTTGAGAACACAAATTACTATCGTCATTCAGGGGTCCAGCTTATCAACCAACGTCCACAAAAGGCTACCTTTATATCAGAAGCGAGCAGTTGACGACCGGTATGCAAAAGTTTTTAAAGAGAAACTGATTAAACATTTTCAGAATCAAAATTTGCCACTTCGGGAATGGGAATCGCAAACTTTTTGGAAGATTTTCTCGGAAAAGAACCATTGAAGCAACTGAACAAGAAGCTCTCCAATGAATTGGAATCAGATTGTGATCGCTGGAAACGGACAAACGATGAGGCACAATTGTTCATACATCAATTCCCCAAAACTCTCTGTTCGTCATTTTATTACTGATAAGAAGCTGAGCCAGACATAATTAAAAGTCATTAGTTGTAATCAGAGTCTAAAAATGTTGAAAATTCTTTTCATTTCCAGTTTCTCCCAGTGAAGTATCATGCTCGGAGATCCACCGTTATTTGGCTCATTTGTTTGACGAAACTCTCCTCAAACTTTTCTATCAACGAATTGATGAACTTACCAGCGACATCTCTCATTTCATTCTATGGACTGATCGTTTCGAAAGCGTTCACCAAGCTATACATCGAAGTAAAACGGAAGGTATATTATGAGTACCGTGTCTGATTTAAAACCTGTTTCAGCTTTATCCGATCTATCTCGTACCTCCGAGCTGCTCTTTTTTCGTTCGCTAACCAGCTTCTCCGTGGTTTTCTTGGTTTGGAAATTTTGCTTCTGGATGAACAGGTGATTGGAATGAATTTTAAATTGATAAAGCCTTTGTAAAGTAAAAATTCAGCGTGAAGCCTATAATGATTATTGTTTTTTTCAGAAAGGAATCGACGTTGGATCTGCCAAAAGGGGCGGTAGAGGATCCACAACGATATGTTCTCAACTTTGTCGTCGATCTTCTCACCGAGGGCCGTGGCATGGCGATTTTGAGGGAAACTCGGTGGCTCGGGGGACGATTGTGCGAAACATGAACGCTATATGAAGGTGATCAAGAGAATCGGTGAATTGAGAAAGAACTCTCAACAGCCGGCCAAAGGTTTGTTCGAAAAAATATATTTAATAATTTTTTAGTTGCCATTAAATATTTGACAAACGTCTTGAGCAAGGATCTACTTGATTATATCATTTTGAAATGTAAGGAGGCTACCAGTAACACGGAAAACTTTATTTACTGGAATCGACGATTTGTGACGGCTGGCATGGCTATCGAACGACTCCAAGGTGTGTATTCGTTTAGTAAAACCCTAAAACTTTGCAATTTTTATATTTTAACTTTCAGAGAACATGTGTCAGTACAGTATTTCGCCGGTGTCTGCTCCCTTCTTTACAATCATCATCTGCTGGGAGCTCGCGTAAGCAGCATTTAAGTGATAGACAAATGAAAGCTCTGCAACCGCTTTCTATATCAATCGTCTATTTTTTAGAGCTGAAGTGGGCGAGATCAAGCCATCGACAACGAGTTTAGCTGATGAGTGAGTACAAGAACTAAATATTCAAATTATAGCAATGATACATAACTTTTCTTGTTTTTAGAGAAGAAGTCAAGAAGAAACGAATCACGAAACCGCCACAAAAGGATCGACAAAAGTGAGATGAATTAGGGAACTCAAAACAAAGAAATTGATCATTAACAACGTTATTTTTAAAAATTTTCAAGATTTTATAATTTTATACAAAATAAAAATTTTCAAGAACCATGCAATAAAGATGCTCTTAACTTAATTGTTCAGATTTCGTTTCACCCCGTGGACCCCCGAGCCTCTTCTCGCAGCCCCATCACCTCCACCCACACAACCAATCCCACAACCAGAGCTCACCCAGAAACGATGTGTCACTTGTGGAAAAGAATTCACTTATGAACTCGAGAATTCTTTTTGGGTATTTGATTATAAAAGAATACTCAACTCAAATTTTACAGCTTGAATGCAATCACACAGTCCCCAAATTCTTCGCTCATGAGCAATGTTTTGTCAAGGCTCTCAAAGAACAAATCCCGAGTCTGGATGGAAGAAAAAGAAAGGTGAGTGGAGGAAATACAATGGGCACAGAAAAGTTGAATGGTTTAGGATTGGAAGAAGGCGTTGTGTGTGGAAGATGGATGTAAGGGACATCTTCTCTTCTGTGATAAAGTCATCAAAGGAGTCCCACATGGAAATGTGAGTTTCAGAATGAGTGACACAAATCGGGCATTTTCTAGCTAGACGGTGAAATGATTATTCAAATCATGATTTTCAGCCGATCCTCTACGATGACTGAATGCTCTTCTCCTGAATAAATTTGTCGATCTTCATCAACCATTAAAATAACATTGATACATCAAAATCTTTGTGATTTGTTAATCTAACCTCATCGAGTTTTCTTTGACTGACTAATCGTTTTTCAAGTTTTTAAAATATTTTGTTTTTTGTTAAATATTGTGTTGGTTTTTTATTCACTTAAGTGTTCAAAACACTTATATCAAATTCACAAACAAAACTAAAGTCATCCATTTCGTGATTTTACATAGTGGATAGGTCATATATTTCACAAAAAGTGATCATTATTTTGTTTACTTAATGTTATTGAAGTTGTTACCTAAACTAATGTTATTGAAGTTGTTATCAATGTTATCTAAATCTCTTCTCAATACCGTTTAAGCGTTTGATGGATTTTGTTTAATTGAATAAAAGTTCGCAACTAAACGTGCATAAAAGATTTTTATACTAAGCAGCTATAAAGTTATAGATATAGAAAGAGTTAAGCAGATCCCACTGGCGTCGCTTGTTGTAGACGGACCTTTCGTTCGGCTCGTTTCAAAGCATAAATCGTGTGAGCTCTGGAAAATTTGGCCCAATTTTGAAGTCACAAACAAGGATTCCGCACAGTCCCAATTTCGATATTGAAAGATCCATCGTGAAGTTTTTTTTCTTTATATAGCATTGAATATTGAGTATTTTGAAAACTTACCAGTTCGATAATGTAGAGCAACTGTATTGATTGATGGTTATTGCGCCATTCCACAAATCAATACATAACTAAGTACTTTTTAGCCAGTTACTCAACAACTCTGAATGCAGCTAATCGGTTAAACATTGAATTGTTTCAGAATCGAAATTATTTCAAGGATTTAGCTCCAATAAACGAAGATTTGACAGAAAATTCGATAGGTTAAACAAATTTTGATTTGTTTTTACAAAATTTCAGTGGAACAACGGCTAATGATGACTGTCACACTACAGTTGCTCTACATTATCGACCTGGTAGGTTGGCATATAAGAATCCTAAGTTTTGGTTCTTCAATAGTCTTGAAAAAAGAGCCCAAAAGTCTTCGCTTTCAAAACTGAGAGTAAGAGATTTAGACTTGAACTCTTAAAATCTAGGATGCAAGCAGTCAAGTGTTGAGAGCATACATGGTAATGGATCTCGTTTGGCAGGATGTTCGTCTTGTATGGGATCCCGAAGAGTTCGATGGACGTTCTGCAATCGTTGTCCAATGCTATTCTCTTTGGATTCCGGATGATTTCGTGATGAACATTTGTTGGTCAGCCCAAAAATTTATCGAGGGCACTGAGACTTATCCTGGAAATATTGTTGTCACGGCTGCGGCACAAGTTGCCCCAATTATTAGCTTGGCAAATATGAAAGGTTATTTTTTACAAAAAATATTGCCCTGTCGTTACGAGGAACATTCGCTGTCTAGGATTTTTCTCAATAATATGTCAAAATGTGCTCATGTTTTTTTTTGCAAAAACTTTTTTGTTTTGAACAATATTTGTATTGTTTCAGCTCGGCAAAGATGAATAACCAAAAATTTAAAATCAGGGCCGCCATTTTCTTTGAATTCAAGTTAAACAAGAAAGCTACGGAATGCCATCAGAACATTTGTACTGTTTTTGGAGAAGCTGCTCTTACTTACAAACAATGTTGTGTTTGGTACGATCGCTTCCAAACGGGAAACGAGTCATTGGAAGATGCACCACATGGAAAGCCGCCGATTACTTTGGACGATCAGCTGTTACTGAACGAGGTCGACTTGGATCCATTGCAAACGTTTAGAAAATTAGCAGAAAAGCTCGGATGCACTCATGTTACCATTTACATGTTCTTGGGAAATCATATCGAAGCGGGAAATGGCTCCCCCACGACCTCACTGATGCCCACAAAGTCACACGAGTCACGTTGAGCTCTGTTCTTCGACGTAAAGCTAGCCATCGTGACTTTTGGAAGTATTTTTTGACATCTGATGAGACTTGGCTTTCGTATGAAAATATTCAACTCTATGGACAGTGGCTGAGTTGGAAGCAGACCTCTCATCCTATCCCGAAGCCTCCGAAAAAGTTATGCTTTGTGTGTGGTGGAATGCTAAGGGATTGGCTCATTTTGAAATATTAGATAAAGGAGACACTGTTGACGGAAGACTTTATGCAGAACAAATGGGTCGAGTCGATCCAGCACTGAGGAAAAAGAGGATCGATCCATCGAAGGTCAGATTTCTTCACGACAATGCTAGGCCTCACATTTCAAAGATCGTCCACGAACAAATCGATAAGTTGAGCTGGAAACTTCTTCCACACCCACCATACAGCCCTGATCTAGCCCCATCGGATTACGATCTCTTTCGGTCAATGAAACAAGCAGTTTCTGGACAGCAGTCCAAACAAAAGCAGAACATCGAAAATTGGGTTGCCAACTATTTTGCCTCTAAAAATCTTCAATTTTACGAGGACGGTATTCGTGATTTGGGACAACGTTGGAAAGAAGTTATTAATGGTTCTGGTGAATACATTTGATTTTGAAAGTGTTTAAATAAATTTTTCTGTTATGTTAAAAATGATCAGAAAAAATAACCTTTCATATTTGCCAAGCTAATAGATATCCAGACCTTGTCTCGTTTTTGCCTCGATCGTTAACTATGAGTGGTTACTGGGAGTGATTGCTCATGCTGACAAGTTTCCGTGAAATTTGATCACTAAAGACTTTTTATATAATAATTTGCCAACAAATTTATAAGAGTTTAAACATTCTCTGGGAACTACCGAATAGCTCGAATTCTCGAGAAACCCGAAAGTGACCCCAAGCCCGATTTGCACCAGAAGAAGTTTATGCTCTGGGTTTTCTGGGATATGGAGGGAGTGGTGTACTGGGAGTTGCTGGATAGCAAGACGGCCGTTAATGCAATCAAATACAGTGAACAGTTGGGAAAGGTGAATGAATCCCTGAAGAAGAATAGGCCCTCCAAGTCAAAGATCGTTCTCATCCACGACAACGCGCGCCCTCATGTTGCACAATTGACTCGCTCTAAAATAAATAGCCTTGTTTGGGAACTTTTGGCGCATTCCCCATACAGTCCGGACCTCGCCCCTTTTGATTACTATTTATTCCGGATCATGAGTAATGAGCTTGCGAAAGAACACTTCGATTCGGAAGAAGCAGTCAAAAATTGGCTTTGAAAGTTTTTCGATTCAAAACCAAAATCCTACCACGAAAGAGGAATCCGCAAATTGCCTGTAAAATGGGCAGAAGTCGTCAATAATAATGGAAATTATTTGGAATGAATTTATGGTTTTATGTTGAATAAATTCTAGTTCAAAGTCCCGCAGTTTTCAATTCATTAACCCAATACTTGACGGGCAAGCTAGGTCGGCCATTTCAAAGAGACAAGATCAACGTTTTGTTCTGCACATTTCGTGTTTACACCATCATGAGTAACGTCACTCTCATCAAGCTAAAAATTATAATATATTTCTTTCTTGATGAAGACTCCCTTTAAACTGGCCAAAAGGTGAAAAACTGTTTGCCAGTACAGCATAGTACATTCCCATGAACCCAGTCGACGGTCCTGGTTTGCTTTCTCTCTCAAGTTACGTTACAAAATCTTTCTCAAGCTTTTTGCCGTGATGGTTGGGGTCTTTGTTGTTGTTCTCGTCGTGGTTCTTGTTGGTTCTTGCGAAATATTTCAACCTCAAGACCGACTTGCTTTTCCTGGCTAGCAATTACCGCCGCGAGAGTCACCTGCATGTGACTGAAAAGCCGATCCAGTGCCCATTCGAGTTGGCTCATCTAACTGTCGTACTTGAGTCCATTGCATGTTTTGTGCACCTTGAGACAGAAAATCATCGAGATTAAGTGATTCTTTCGAATGTTTTCGTTGAATCAATCAAACACGGTAACGGCTTTGATGAAGTGCATTGCAACTTGAAGATCTCCACGCTCTCAAGGTGTTCTAAAGATGAGCGAGAACACGACGAGAGTTTTGTCCATTGCTACGTGGAGTGATGTTTTTTGTTTCAAAAAATAACTACAAAGTCTTGGATTGTATTTGTCCTGAATTTAAACAGATTTTCAGTGTAATCATCATCTGCTGAGTCACTTTGCCGAAGCCGATGATCAACCAACCTCGTAGAGTGTGATTAACTGCAAATATCATTCCACTCGATTTGTAGAGGTACTGCTTCCAAATTTCCTTTTGGCTTTTAAAGCGGTTTTTTTCTCAAAATCTAAACGTTTTCATTTACCCAAAGCCAAGCTTAATTCTCAGCATGTTCCGATAGTCTTTAGTGAAATACGGCATGCAAATTGGATCTACAAAAGGGTAGAATGAAATGTGAATTGGCACAAGTGTGCACCATTGACCAGAGACACCGAAAAGCGGGCAAAAGGAAGCTATGGCTCCCGGTGTATTCGAATATTCGAATAAGTGTCTGAATTTTAAAGCTTTTTGTAAGTTAATTTTTCTCTTTTACTATTAACAAACTATTGTTTAACTAAAGTGCCTTTTATTTGATAAGTTACCTGAACTAAAAGTGCTCTGAAAAGCTCATACTAAAGTTTTTTCGATTTTTTTTACTCATCGCAGCATTTTAAAGAGAAAATGACTTTTCATTTGTATAATAAAATCTTTCTTTCAACTTTTTACGGTTTTTTGGATACGCGAAATGCAAAAAATGATGAGAGTGAAGGATGATCCGAGTATGGTTTCGACAAGACCCAAAGCCAGCAGGTTTGTCCAATCCCAAATCAGTTCCCCGTGTTATGCTAAACAAAATAAATTTGAAATTTTAGTAAATACAACTGCATACTTTATATAAAGGTCCAGCAATAGCCATTGTGTTTACATCAAAACCGTAAAATTCAAAAAGTGAGTCCCTAAAGTGATCCTAAATTGAGCTTAAATCAACCAGTTTGAGCAACCCTTAGGGCCAACTTTTTTGAACTTAGAAACACATGTACAACCATTCCCCAAATGAAACCATAAATAATCCAATTGAAAAAAT